CATCATCATCATCATCATCATCATCATCATCATCATCATCATCATCATCATCATCATCATCATCATCATCATCATCATCATCATCATCATCATCATCATCATCATCATCATTATCCGCGATCCTCCTCCTCCGCGATCCTCCTCCTCCGCGATCCTCCTCCTCCTCCTTCTCCTCCTCCTCCTCCTCCTCCTCCTCCTCGTCCGCCTCCTCCTCCTTCTCCTCCTCATCATCGTCCCTCTCCAACTCACTCACTGCTGCCAGCCGTAATGATGTGAGTCAGAGGGCCTTGTGGCATGCGAGGTGCAGCCGAACACCCGCCGTTCGTTGCCATGCCCCCTTGCTCATGTGCCTGCTCGTGCCCCGGGAGCCTCGCAAGGATCGATATCTGGCTCGAAAAATGGCCGCAGGATAGGGGCCCAGGGCTCCTGTCGCGAGGTGTCACGAGGCTGCATTTTTTTCTCGCGGCGTCGGAGCTCGGCCCAGACATGCGACGTCCTGATGTTTTCAATGCACTGTCCCCAAAAGTCCCTACATGCTCCTCTGGGCCGGTTCTTCATCCCGATTCGTTTTCTGATGGTGCTAAAGGGCCAGGGCGAGGGCCCCCAGAGGCCGAAAGCGGCCAACAAACTGCCGTTGTGCTTTTTCACCACACGAGCATGTTTGAGCCCAGAGGTTCAACACTTGGAGAGGCGGCCGACGCAACGTTCCCGCGACGCCCGAAGAGGTGAGGCGCGCGCCGTCGACTCGCGGAACGCGCGCTGCGGGCGACAGCCGCGCGGCCACAGTCGTCGTTGTCGTCGTCGTCGTCGTCGTCGTCGTCGTCGTCGTCGTCGTCGTCGTCGTCGTCGTCGTCGTCGTCGTCGTCGTCCTCGTCCTCGTCCTCGTCCTCGTCCTCGTCCTCGTCCTCGTCCTCGTCCTCGTCCTCGTCGTCGCCGCCATCGTCGCCGCCATCGTCGCCGCCGTCCCCGACGCACGCCGTCCCCGACGCCAGCCGTCCCCGACGCCTGCCGTGGCCGCCGCCCTCGTGGCCCCCGTCCCCGCCCTCCTCGCCCTCGCCCTCCCCGCCCTTGAGGCCGCCGCTGTCGCCGCCGCCGCCGCCGTCCTCGCCCTCCTCGCCGTCCTCGCCGTCCTCCTCGCCCTCGCCGCCCGCTCCTGGCGGCGGCAGGCGCAGGCCGTGAGGCGCGGGCGACGCCGCCTCCCCGCCGTGGCGCAGCTCGGCGAGGCGGGCCGCCAGGTCCGCGGCAGCCGCGGCGCCCAGCGGGGAGGCGCCGGCGCCCGGCTCCTCGGCAGGCGGCTCCGCGCCGAAGTGCGGCGAGGAGGCCCCGGAGGCCAGGGCCGCGCCGGCCTCCTCGGGGAGGTTTCGGGCTCGAGGCTCGAGCTTCGTGGTTCGAGGCTCGCTGTGTGGAGGTGTCAGATCACCCTGGGGCGCCCTCGTGGCCACGGCCGGATCCGCCTCGAAGTTCTGGCCCGAGCGCGCCCCAGCAAGTAGGGATCGGCTCTTGACCTCTCATCAGGGTCAAGGGGGGCCGGGCTCGAGATTCGAGGTTTTCGCGCGTTTTCGTTGGTTCTCGGCGGTTTTTCAGCCTGGGGATGCTTTTACCCTCAGCAGTTGCACCACCCCGATCTCGCCGGTTTTCCAACCTCGGGATGCCTTCCCTCAACAGCTGCACCACGCCCGGGGCGTTCCCAGGGTGCCGTGATCGCCCGAACGGCAAACTGGAGAGTCGAGTTAGGACCCCGAAAACCAGGGACGCCCAAGAGTGGGGCGTGGAAGAGGAGGTTGGCAGCTCATGGCCCCAGCCACGTGCGCGGGCCAAGGTGGGGCAAGGTAACGTCTTACAGCAATAAAGCCAAATTCAAAGAAGAAGAAGAAGAAGAAGAAGAAGAAGAGAAAGGCAATAATGGATTTCAAAGAGAAGGCAAAACAATATGACTGCATGTTCATAATCATCGTAATAATGAAAATAGTGGCACGAATAATACTAATAAAAGTAATACTATCCTGGCGAAGGACCCAGCCATATGCAATTGTGGGTACCGCAATTGTGAATATTTTCTTCGGTGAAGCTCCCTTTGGGGCCACGAAGCGCTGTACTGGGTGGGGGGAACGCATGCGGGCGGTAGCACTGGGCCCGTCGGTGGAGGTCCCTATGGCCACGAAACGCTGTACTGGGTGGGTGAAAGTGCCACATTGGGTTTCCAGGACGCACGCGGACGGTCCAACTGGGGGCTTCGGTGGAGATCCCCATGGGGCCACGAAGCGCTCTACGGGGTGGGCGAAAATGCCAAGTGGGGCTTCGGGGACGCATGCGGAAAGTCCCACTGGGGGCTTCGGTGGAGCTCCCTATCGGGTCACGAAACGCTGTACCTGGCGGGCGAAAATGCCAAACTGGGCTTCCAGGACCACTGGGGGCTTCGGTGGAGCTCGTAATGAGGCCACGAAATATCATACTGGTGGGTGAAAATGCCAAATTGGATGCGCGGGACGCAGGCGGACGGTCCCGCTGGGGGCGTCGGTGGAGCTTCCTATGGGGCCACGAAACGCTGCAGTGGGCGGGTGGAACTGCCAAATTGGGCGTGTGGGACGCATGTGGGCGGTCCCGCTGGGGGCTTCGGTGGAGCTCCCTATTGGGGCCACGAAAAGCTGAAGTGGGCGGGTGAAAATGCCACATTTGGTGTGCGGGACGCATGCGGACTGTCCCACTGGCAACGAAACGCTGTACTGGGTGTGGCAGACGCATGTGGCCACACCCACTGGGGCCTTACGTGGAGCTCCCTATGGGGCCACGAAACGCTGTACTGGGTGTGGCGGACGCATGTGGTACCCCCACTGGGGCCTTATGTGGAGCTCCCTATGGGGCCACGGAACGCTGTATTGGATGTGGCGGACGCGTGTGGTACCCCTACTGGAGCCTTAGGTGGAGCTCCCTATGGGGCCACGGAACGCTGTACTGGGTGTGGCGGACGCATGTGGTACCCCCACTGGGGCCTTACGTGGAGCTCCCTATGGGGCCACGAAACGCTGCACTGGGTGTGGCAGACGCATGTGGTCCCCCCCCCCTTGGGGCCTTACGTGGAGCTCCCCATGGGGCCACGAAACGCTGTACTGTGTGTGGCAGACGCATGTGGTACCCCCCCCTGGGGCCTTACGTGGAGTTCCCTATGGGGCCACGAAACGCTGTACTGGGTGTGGCAGACGCATGTGGTACCCCCACTGGGGGGGAGGCACGGGAGGAGAAAGAGAAGACGCGGGGACCGTCTCTTCAAAACGAAGACCCAACACCACAGGATGGTTGGGAACAAATGAAGTATTCGGGGGCGGGATCGCGGCCTGCTCACCCCCGATCTTCATCCTCCCCGTTCTCATCCCCGTATGGTCATTATCATATTCCTCCTCATCCTGACCCCCCTCAACCTGACTGGAACTGCCTCGCCATCACCAGTAGTCCAAGAAAACGAACACGGGGGGCACCCGAGATTCGGTCTCTTTACAACCAGAACAACCACTTTACAACCAAATGGGTTACTTTACAACCAACATAGGATTGGAAAGTATGGTTTTTCATCGAGAACGTCCACTTTGCAACCAGAACGGCCCACTTTACAACCAGAACGGACCACTTTACAACCAGAACGGGCCACTTTACAACCAGACCGGACCACTTTACAACCAGCTCAGAGTGGCCGTGCGTGTTTGGGCGTTCCGCAAAGTGCTCCAGAGCAAGTGGGCGCTCTGAAAAATGCCCCAGAGCAAGTGGGCGCTCTGAAAAATGCTCCAGAGCAAGTGGGCGCTCTCAAAAGTGCTCCAGGGCGCGCGGACGCTCTGAAAAGTGATCCAGAGCACGTGGGCGCTCTGGAGCCCGAGCGCCTGAACTCTCTGCGCAGGCCCCAGCGATGCCTCTGAGCCCGAGCGCCTGAACGCCCCGCGCAGGCCCCAGCGATGCCTCTGAGCCCGAGCGCCTGGGCGCTCTGCGCAGGCCCCAGCGACGCCTCTGAGCCCGAGCGCCTGGACGCTCTGAGCAGGCCCCAGCGATGCCTCTGAGCCCGAGCGCCTGGACGCTCTGAGCAGGCCCCAGCGATGCCTCTGAGCCCGAGCGCCTGGACGCTCTGGCGCTCTGAGCCCAGCAGACTAAGACAGGGCTTGCTAGCAGGGGCCAAGCGGCCTCAACAAGGGCCCCGTGCTCGCACGGGAATAAGGCGACAGCATACGTAGGAAGGCTCAGGGCGACGCGCTGCCCATTTTAGGGATCACTCACAGGAAGCGAGCCCAGTGGCCTCCACAAGGGCCCAGCGCTCCAGGGAACTAGGCCATTGGCACCGCGGGTCTCTTGGGCCACGTTGGCCCCTGAAGCCCCACGGTGTTCTGCAAGGGGCTAAGTGCGCCAGCTCCAGTTGGCACCCTGCTGCTCCTCGTCTTGGAAGATCGAGGTTCAACGTTCCGAATAAATGCAACTGTTTCGGATGTCGTTTCTTCCAGCGTCAGCCACAGTGCCAGCGCAGCAACGCAGGTATCCTGCTCGGGCAGCAGCCTCAGCCACCGTGCCAGCGCAGAAGCTTGAGCCACCGTGACAGCGCATCACCGCCACCTTTGTGCCTGCTACCACCACACTTACCGCTGCAGCCCCGCTACCTCCACAATTCCGACTGACCCCCCGCTACTACCGCAAATCCCATTGCAGCCCAGCTACCACCACAGTTCCCACCGTTGCCTGGCGACCACCACAGTTGCCACCGCAGCTTCCCAACACCATGCAGTTCCCATTGTAGCCCCCGCTACCACCACATCTCCCACTACAGCTTTCCACTGCCATGCAGCTCCAGTCTTGGACGGGATCATGGTTTATTCGTATGTCCTGCGCGACTAGCCTTCGCCCGTCAGAAAAAAGGCAGAGCAAGCAATGGCAGAACTGACCGACAGAGCTTAGAGAGCAGGTCAAAACTCGAATCCGCCCACCAGCACGCAACATGCCATAGCGCACCAGGTCGCCGCATCGCCAACTCGTGCGCAGTGCTTCTTCGTGCGCGATGGGCAACTTTACAACCAACATGCCTCAAAGAGCCCAAAGCCACCCTTGCGCTTGCCCACGGAGATTCCAGGGAAAGGCACGCGTGCATTCAATATGTGTTTTTACTTGCCTGGTTGTAAAGTGCCCTTCCTGGTTGTAAAGTGCCCTTCTCGGATTTTGTAAGCTGGTTGTAAAGTGACCCATCTGGTTGTAAAGTGCGCTTCTGGTTGTAAAGTGACCCGCGCGCGGGGGAAGAGGTGGGAGGAAGCAGGAGAAAGAATGGGGCGGGAGAGCGCAGGAGGAGGAGGGAAAGACAAGACAATAGGGACGGAGTCGGGAGGCAGAGGGTGGCTGGAGGGAGTTTCCGGCTAGGTCTGGGCTCGCTCTAACGCTGTGTGGGCTCGCCTCTGGACATCGATCTCGGCCCCCTGGGTCCGCATTCGGGCCCCGGAGCTCTGGCAAAAAAAGATTACTCCGATCCTCGTGAGGGGTGCGCCGACATGGGGCGGGGCCGCCATGCGAACCCTACCATTGGCGCCTTCGGTGGAGCTCCCCATGAGACCAAGAACCGTGTGAGGGGTGCGCCGATATGGGGCGGGGCCGCCATGCAAACCTTGCCATTGGCGCCTTAGGTGGAGCTCCCTATGAGGCAACGATCCTCGTAAAGGGTGCGCCGAAATGGGACGGGACTGCCATGCGAACCCTGCGACTGAGGCCTTCGGTGGAGCTCCTTATGGTGCCACGAACCGCGTGATGGGTGTGCCGAGATGGGCCGGGGCCGCCATGCGATCCCTGCCACAGCCGCCCTCGGTGGAGCTTCCCACGGGGCCACGAGACGTGTGAAGGATGCGACGAAATACCGCCATGCGAACCCTGCCACTGGCGCCTTCGATGGAGCTCCCTATGGGGCCATGTTGGGCATGAGCTCGAGCTCCCGATGGGGCCACGAAACGTGTGAAAGTTGTGCCGAAATGGGGCGAGGCCGCCATGCGAACTTTCCCACTGTGGACTTAGGTGGAGCTCCCTATGGGCCACGAAACGTGTGAGAGGTGTGCCGAAATTGGGCGAGGCCGCCAAGCAACCTTTCCCTCTGGGGCCTCAGGTGCAGCTCCCGATGGGGCCACGAAACGTGTGAAAGTTGTGCCGAATTGGGGCGAGGCCGCCAAGCAACCTTTCCCTCTGGGGCCTTAGGTGGAGCTCCCTATGGGGCCACGAAACGTTTGAGGGATGTGCCGAAATGGGGCGAGGTCGTCATGCGAACTTTCCCTCTGGGGCCTCAGGTGGAGCTCCCTATGGGGCCACGAAACGTGTGAGGGGTGTGCCGAAATGGGGCGGGGCTGGC